ACAGGCTAGACCTCAGGAGTGGGGCTAGACCTCAGGAGTGGATTTAGACCTCAGGAGCGGGGCTAGACCTCAGTGTGCAGGCGCACAGCACACCCGCAGTGGCCACTGAGCAGCTGGGGTCAGGTCACCCTGGAGCTGGTGTGGGTTTTGGTGGTTCTGAGACACAGTCTTGGCTGTGGTCTAGCCTGGGTTGATCTGAGACTTGCTGCATGGAGCAAACTGGCTGCACCTTGCAGCAGTCCTCCTGCCTGTCCTCAAGCACCAGGGTTACAGAGTGACCTGGCTAGGGGTAAAAGCGCTGCTGGAAGGTGAGGCGTGTGTGTGTGTGTGTGTGTGTGTGTGTGTGTGTGTGTGTGTGTGTGGTTAAGCAGCGGTTCAGGCCTCCCGCTCTTCAGCCCGCTGTCGTCCCAGGAAGACCTTTGTTGCTCGGGTCCTGTGGTTGCCTCCAGAGGACGGCAGTTACTTGTCTGTGCTGTGCATGCGTGTGAGAAAATAACAGCAGTGACTGTGGGACATGGCCTCCCTGCAGTCAGCTGACGTGGGCACTAGCCTGTGTGCCGCCCACCTGTGTTTCGGCGTTCTCCCTCCCACGAGTGTCACTGGTTCTCTCCTGTCGCTGTGAGGGAACACCTTCCGGGTGGCCTTTGGGCTGGTGAGTGAGGCGTGGTCGCGCCGTGGCGGGAAGCTGCTGCGGGCTCCCGGCGGACACGCTGGCGTGGAAAGTAGCGTGCTGTCTCGGCACGTTGGGAAGCAGATAGCCCCACACCCGCCTTCTCCCGCCAGGCCCCTCCTAGAGTGCCTCGGCCTCCAGGGCTGTGCCACTAGCGTGTACCTGACACCGGTGGGGGGTCGTTCCCGCCAGCATCCGTGACTCAGAGGACACGTGTCTGCGTGGTTCTCGAGTGCGCGCTCGCACATGCATGCTGAGTGTGTGTGTGTGTGTGTGTGTGTGTGTGTGTGTGTGTAACTCTGCTTAGGTTCTGATTTCTCTTGATCTGATTTGCACCCGGTCAGAGATAGGATAAGCACCTGCTCTGACTTTAGGAGAGGGGAGTGAAACCTAGGACAGCCTAAATCTGACAACCTTCCGAATCGGTGCTGCGCAGGCTCGGCTCAATGCCTTCCCGTATGGCCACGGTGAAGTCCAGTTCCACCTTCTTAATTTAAAAATGTTTTTTTTAAAAAGTTGCATTTTATTTATTCCGTGAGTGTGTGTGTTGGCATGTGCCTACTGTGGTGTGCATGTGGAGGTCAGGGGTCATTCTCTTCCTTCAGCATGTGGTTCCCTGGGACCGCCCTGCAGTCAGCGCTGGCAGCACCGTTACTCCCTGAGCCATCTTGCCAGCCCGTTTTTTTTCTTTTAAGCGTTGTTGTTAGGCATGCTTGCACTCTAGCAGCAGATAGTTTTGCTAAAGGACTTGTGGGAGTCCTGGTGTGAAAGGAAGTGTTGCACATTTAGGAGGACAGCGCTGGTCCCTGCAGAGCACACACAGGCATTTCCATGTGTCCTTCATTCTGCTTCTGCCGTCCCTGCTTGGGATCTCGTCCCCCAAAGACTCGAGCTTTTCCGCGTGTCTTCCCGGTTTCCTTCCAAGTAGGTCACTTCAGTGTATACCTAACTTGCAAATGGAGGATGTGAAATGCGGGAAAGTTCAGTGACTTACCAAAGCTAACTAATCAGGGAGAAGCTAAGCGAAAGCCAAGCTTCTCCCGGTCTGCCCATGGCTGCACCTATCACGAGGGCACACTAATGGCCTATTAGGCACTTTCCCGTTGGCTGCGCTTTGGGGACACATAATTTAGGTAATTTGAGGTAAAAACTGTAATTATCATCTGGTGATTGAAATGACTTATTTGCAGTTTGAAAGAAAAAATATCCTGTGCAAACTAAAAGTTGACGCTCCATGGCAGAGCGTGCTGGGGGAGTCAGCCCTGCCCCTCGGTTCAGTGATGCTGCCCTTCCTCAAATAACGCTTGTCTGTGGGGGTTGGTTTGGTTTCTTTGAGACTAGGTCTCAGGGCAGCCCAGGCTGGCTAGCACTTCCTGTGTAGCCCAGGCTGTCCTTGACCTCATGACCTCAAGCTGCCTCAGCAGTAGTCAGAGTCCTGTAACTCATAGTGACGTTGTGTTGACCCTGGGCAAACCTAAAGGAGGATAAACAAAGTGTTGGTGCTAGGAACCTGTTACCTGGGGTGTCAGAAGCTGTGGCGCTCAGTGCTTGCTCAGTCAGCTGGGCACCACGGTGCCTGGCAGCACACGGTGCTCGAGGACGCAGCCAGGCCCGAGAGAAGTCTTCCTCCTCAGCTGCCAGGCCTTTCCCACGCTCTAGGGAGGGCAGCGTGGAGTCGCACCCATAGCCTCGGGAAGCTGGCGCTGCTCCCACCCACAGAACGGGAGCTGAGTGTAGCTGACAGCCCCGCGCAAGCGCTTGGGACTTGTGGGCTCATGTCGCCCAGGCCTTCCCCGGGGCTGGCTGGCTGGAGGGTGAAGACCGCCCCTGGTCTTCAGGGTTGTGTGGAGGAGCGGCGTTCGTGTTGGGCCCCTTAGCTCGCTGGAGGCTGGGTTCTGGAGACTGCTGGCGGCGCTGAGTGGGGGGATCTCGGGTCCTTGTCCGTTCGTGATGTCTGCGTGGGGACGCAGCGCTGCTGCTGGCTGCTCTGAGTGCGCCTTGGGAGCCCGATGTGCACACCCAGGCAGGTGCTCCTCTCTGTTCCCCGGGCTGGGCCGTGGGCAGGGAAGGCTCCCCCTCTGCCCAGCCCCGCCTGTGCTCCCCCAGACACAGCCTGCTCGGGTCACTTTAACAGACTCGACCTGGAGGGGCCACAGGCGAGAAGAGGGCGGAGGGCAGCACGAGAGGCAGCACGGGAGGAGCTGTGCCCGGGCTTCCGTGACGCCACCGTGCTCTGCACGCCCACGTGACAGTGGCGCCACAGAGCTCTAAGTGGACTGACTTCCGTGTTCTCAGGCTTCTGCACCGAGTGGCCCGCTGCCCTCGACAGTGACGAGAAGTGCGAGCAGCATTTTCCGCTTGAGGTGGAGACAGCTGACTACGTGTCGTCGGGACCATCGGTTAGAAACCCCAAAGCTCGAGTAGTGACGCTGAGGGTAAGAGTGTGTGCGTGCGCTCTGTGAGTGTAGACAGATGCACACTTCTGCTTGTGCAGCTTCCTGGAGTCTGGGGTGTGCAGTCCCCGCTCTGAGGCTGTACCTAACAGGACGGACACCTGACTGTTAAGCACTCACAGATTTTGGTGGCGTTGGTTTTCTCCTTCCTTCTTCCCGTGAGATCGGGATCAAACTGAGAGTGTGCTGAGGTGGCATGAGTGTGGGATTCACGCCTTCCTCATCGCCTTGGTGCCTGACAGAAGCCACTCGGAGCTCATTGATCTTGGCCAGCAGTTTCATGGCTTCTGCCCCAGAGCGTGGGCAGCGTGCTCACGTCCCTGGACCAGCAGGCTGAGACTCTGGGTGGCCGTGGAGCCGGCACCCTGGAGGCCCGCCCTGCCCCCAGGTCCCGGCCGTCCTGTGACGTCGCAGAACAGCACTGCCCCCTGGGGACAGTGTCCAAACACATGAGCTTATGGGGACATGTAACATCCAAACCACAACAGTAATGTCAGAGGGATCACACCTACTGTTGTGTGTGTTTGTGGGGTGTGCATGTATGTGTGCTTGCTTCTGTGTGCATGTGCATGTGTTTGTTTTTGTGTCTATGTAGTATGTACATATATGTGTGCTTGTTTCTGTGTGTGTTTGTGGTGCGTACACATGTATGTGCTTGTTTCTCTGTGTATGTGTGTGTATGTGCGTATGTGTTTGTTTCTGTGAATGTAATGCGTGTGCCTATATATGCTTGTCTGTGTATGTGGTGTGTGTTTGTGTATGTATATATGTTTGTTTCTGTGTGTATGTATGCATGCTTGTTTCTGTGCATACGTGCATGCATGTATGTGTGTCTGTGCTTGTTTCTGGGTGTAGGGGTTGTGTGTGTGCATGTGTGTATGCTTATTTCTGTGTGTGTGCAGGCAACTGTTCATGCTTGTTCGTGTGTTTATGGGCTTGTGTGTGTGAGTGCGTATCTGTGTGACTGTTTATGGAGGCTCTATTTATGGGCTCGTGTGTGTGTGTGTGTGTGTGTGTGTGTGTGTGTGTGTGTGTGTGAGAGAGAGAGAGAGAGAGACACTGTGACCGAGGCCCTGTGATCGCATTGGGAAACGCCCTGGATCCCTCCCCTTAGCCATCAAGGCAGGCTTCCGCTTGAGCACAGAGCTTGCAGTCCAGCTGGTGTAGGCGGCCTTCCCTGGACCCACTGACCGTGTCTGAGCTGGATTGCAGGCGTCCACTGACATTTCCACGGGTGCTGGGCATCTGTGTGCAAGGCCTTTCACGTGTGCAGCCCTCCCCAGCCCCCACCATGACTCTAGAGTGAGATGGGGTTGCGTGTTTCTCAATAGTGGAAAAGTGGTGTAGGATTAAGGACAGTTTATGTTTGTCTAGGGCCTTACTTTTAGGAGTGTTTTCTTGCGTTAGCCTCGGGTGTCTCTGCAGTCACCCTGTGAATTACGGCACCCCCAGGAAAGTCTTGCTGGAGAGGAAGTGACTTGAAGTCACAGAGCAAGAGGCTCAGCTTGGCTCGTGCCTTCTGTGTGGTGCCAGAGCTGTCACATCATGGCATGTCGCGTACTTAGACATTCCTCAGTGTGCGTAGTTCTTGTGTTGGTATGTAGGCATTTCACCATGGCCTCCTGTGAGCAGGAGAGGCAGCATTGTTTGGGGAATAATGTTAGGGGCTGTGGAAGCAGCATCTTGAGAACATTATTTTGGAAGAGAGGCTGTGACGGCCCTTGGCCTTGAAGTCAGAGTGTTTGTCGGCCCAGCTCAAAGATGAGGCATTTGCAGTGCCTTTCATAGGCTAGCAGGTTGCGTGTGTGCTGCAGAGCTGCAGAGCTGCAGAGTATCTGGCTAAAGTCCCTTTATGTAAGGTTAATTAATGTGAATATGAGTTTTAAAACAGTCATTGTAAACATAATCAACATTGCTGCCACTCTTTTGAAGATTTGCATATAAATCAACTTAAAATATTCTTGTTTAATGTTGCAATCTCGTGGCTGTTTAAAGAAGAAAATACGCTGTGTCCCACTACACTAACAAAAGTACTGATTCCTGTGTGCTGTCAGTGCACACAGACGTGCGCATACATTTGCGTCACTGTGAAGCAGTGCGTCTTGCTACTCTCATATAACTGTTTCTCCATTTGTTACCAGGCAGGCTTATCATGGAATGAGCTGCTTATTTATCACTCTTTAACCTGCTTATTGGTGCATGTTCTTTCCCAAACATGATGTGCTTCTCAGAGCCTGCCGAGTAGAACTGTGATATTAAACTGTCTTCAGAGACAGTCTTCTGCCCAACCCCAGCTGTCCTTGAACTTGGGGTCCTTCTAATGTGGTTCTCCTCCTGGCTGGGTGCTGTCTCCCAGCAGCCCAGGAGTCAGGAGGGGCTCGAGACAAGAATGGCCCTTGCATTGGCATGAGCACTGTATGCCAGAATCCCAGAATCTAGATCCCGCCTAGAAGAAAAGTGTTTCTCTCCCTCTTCCCCTCAACCTCTTTGGCCCATGCCCACACCCCAGGAACCATTCAGGGGCTAGTTCAACTTTACTTCTGGAGAACAGCAGCTGTGTACCCCCAGGGGTGTGGGGGGGTCTCCAAGGATAGGTGTACATGATTGGTTAGAACTAGGCACTTCAAGGATGCCTGGTTTGCATTAAACAGCACGCTCCTGTCATGGGAACGGGAACACAGTACCTAATTATCCTGTAGGCACAGGGAGGGGAGAGCAGCAGGGAGCTCTGTCAAAGGCCGTCTATCAGATGTGGTCTAGAGACCTGTTCAGATGAGGTCAGGCGCAAAGCAGGAGGCCCTGCTGGGGAGAGGGAGGCCTGCAGCCCCAGACAGCAGGGTCCTCCAACAGAGCGATAGGCCTGTCCACCATGCCCCACGTCCTTTCTTTTTAGACTTTAAATATTAACTCACCAATACTTACGGAATGCTTTAAAGTCCTACACCGTCGCCAAGAGCAAAGTAGATAGTGCCCTCAGCTTGCAGGCATGTAATTGCATGGGGAGCTGCTTGCTGAGTCCTGAGTGAGATGCGGGGTGCTGAACCCCATCCCACTTCTGTGCTGTGGTTTCTGTCTGCCCTGAAGACTGTTTGGGGAGCTTGCTGCTCCATGGGACAGTATGGGGGGGGGGCTGTGGGAGTTGTGGCGGCGCCCTCACCCAGGAAGGGGAGACCTGAGTTAGCCTTCAGAGAGCCAACTGTCTGAAGGGCAAGCCTAGGCCTGAGCTGCTCTTTCAGCCTCCTCTCTGTGCTGTGTGATTGCTCCTCCGGTGGCATGCCCTTTCACCTCAGAGCCGAAGAGACTAAACCTTGTTTCTTTATAGAGTTACTTGGGTAGATCTTTTGTTATAGTAATAAAATAGGGTAATAGTATTTTATTGAACTATATTCTAGTGTCAAACTTATCTGTGTCTAGTTCATATCTTAACTCTTGACACAATTCTCGGCAAACTCAAGAGTTCTCTTTCGGCCTGGCATTTCCCAGTGTACGTCTTGAGGCAGATACTTCCATGAAAAGTGGAACTGAAGGCCAAGTGCATGGAGAAGCACTCATGTGCCACAGCGGCATCCGAAAACTCCAAAATGCTCTAAGAAGGACTGTGTCAGTGTAGCGTCGAGGTGGGCGTGGTGGCAGAGCCATCTGCGCCCCTCGCATTGAGGAGGCTAGAGTACGAGGCTCAGGCTTGAGGCTACGCTGGGCTACTTAGCGAGCGCTGTGTGCCGAGGCTGTCTCACAGCGGCCTAGCTAAGGCCGACATGTTCTGACGGTAAGGAGGAGAGACAGTTCCCCGTTCCTCTCTGCAGCGCTGGGGTTACACCAAGACCTGGCCGCGTTCTAGTGAACACTGTGCTGCTCAGCTGCAGGATCGGGCTTTAAGAAGAGATTCTGAGTGGCAGATTGCGTGCCTGTGTGTGCAGACTATGGCTTAATCCCCGGCATGGGCCAAAGAGGTTGAGGGGAAGGGAGAGGGAAACACCTTGCTTCTAGGCTCCACATCCTTTAAAAAGGTTGCATTCATGTGTGTGTGTTTGTATGTGTGGTGCATAGCACCCTTGTGTAGTGCTCAGGGGCAATTTGTGGGAATCTGCTTTCTCCTTGTACCATATGGGTCTGGGGCTCGGGCTTGGCGGCCAGCTCTTCAGGCCATTGAGCACTTCGCCAGCTTGTGGGGCCGGTGTCAGCTTCTGTGGAGTGCGGTGCTGAGGTTCTGCTCTGGGCCAGCCTCCAGAGCTTTTACATGTTGTGTAAGGACAGAGCTTTGTTTGTGTCCCTGGACCCTCCGCAGCGGCACTAGCTGGCTTCATGCTGCCGTGGGCGGAGCGCTGGGTCTGGGCTGTCGTAGCAGAGGTGCTCCTTCCTGTCCCCGAGCTTTTTGGGAGGTGTGTGGGCCTAGGGAAGGCTGTTTCGAGCTTTCACTTGGCGCTCCTGCTTCCCATGAGTGAGATTGATCCTTCGCTTCCTGACTGCTGGCGTATGTAGAGGAATTGAGGAAGTTTTGCTTTTGTGATTTAATGTTGATTAAAATAGTGACACTTTCTTCATGAAGCACATTGTGTGATGTCTGGACATGATTGTTTTCTTGTGTTCAAGGTTAAACTCTCCAGTTTGAATTTGGACAAGCATGCGAAGGAGAAGCTTACTAAGCTTGTAGGAGAACGGTACTGCAAGGCCACCGATGTGCTTACGCTCACAACAGACAGGTGCGTGCAGGCAGCTCCTCACCAGTGTGTGTTCACGTGTGTGCGCGTCTGTGCTGTGGGTGTGCATGCACACACGTTTGTATGTGTGCACGCTATCCCATAGTGCTGCCTTTTCTATAGGTGATAGGGCGTGTCGTTTAGCTAGCTGCGTGGTCTATGCCAGCCGCTGCTTAGAGCCAAAGGACTCTGTAACAAGCCACACGAGCTCCAGTCTTACACAGACTGGAGGCAGCTGTCAGCTGTCCCTGTTTTACCTCACTGCCCTCAAAGTATGGCATGTAGTCTCCTGTTAGGTTTGACCGCTATCAGGGTGTTAGCTCGATTGGAAGATAGCAACAGTGGGCGTGCAGTGCGTTGCCTTTTTGGGAGAATCAGCTGTTTCTATTTATGTATGTGAATGTTTCCCTGCATGTGTGTCTGCCGTGTGTGCAGGGTCCTTGGAGGCCAGAAGAGGACATGGATCCCTGGAACAGACGCTGCAGGTGGCTCTGTGAGCTGGTGTGGGGGCTGGGGCTGGGGTCCAGGTCCTCCACAGCAGAGTGCTCTTCCGTCTGAGCCGTCTCTGCAGCCTCATCTGCCAGCAGAGCCTGGTTTGAGATAGTTGTATGGAAAGTAGCTTGAAGCTGCAGTACACAAGCAACCCCATTACCGAGGAGAGCAAAGACAGAAATGATAGCAGTATCTAATGTCCTGAATATTCTCGTTTTTTATCTGTCTGGCTTCCCCTTCCTCCATGCTTCTCCCCGCTTCTCTCTAAGTCTGGGCCTCACAGAGTTGTCCTGACTAGCCTGGGACTCGTTATGGAGACTAGGGTAGCCTCAGATTCGCAGAGATGAAGCTGCTTCTGCCTCCAGTGTGCCACCAACCCCTGCTGGTTTGAATATTCTGAGCACAGAACACAATCTGTTACCTGCTGCCTTCAGAATCTCTTAGGAGACGGCCTGTGTGCTGAGACGTTTGCCTCCTCTTCTCTCTTTAAAGATGTCCTTTGAAGAGACAGAACTACGACTATGCGCTGTATCTCCTCACGGTCCTCTACCACGAATCTTGGGTAAGTGTGTGTGGACAGAGCTAACCTTTCAAAGTCTGTGGCAAGGAAGTGTACTGCGAGTGTGTATGAAGTGTGTGTGTGAAGATCCTGAGGTCGAGCCCGTCTGTTGGCCATAAAGGGGGTGCTGGGCATTATAATGCTTATTATTAGCCCTAAAATTATCACAGCAGTATTTAAGCCGCTCCCACAGATAACAAGACACAGACACTGTTAGATGTAGAATTGCCTCATTTACCTTGGGCTGGGCAGATATTTCACTTACACTGTCTCAGTATCCTCACCGTCCACCTCCCAGCCCTCAACTAATGCCATCTGCCTTAATCTTCCTCAGCTGCTCTACCTTCCACCTGTAATCCCATAAATACTTGCTTATAGTTTTCATTTTGATGTTTTCTCCATCCACACCATCCTTGGAGTCCTTCCTCCCAGCCCACCTTTCCTTCTCCATGCTAACCCATCGTGGCATCCTTCTGCCTCCTCTCTTCCTGTCTGTCTGTCTGTTTCTGGTTCACAAAGCCCAGGAACCTTAGCCACACCTACCTCATTCTGCCCTGCTCAGGTTTTAGGGCTTTAATCAACCAATCAGGTATAATGTCTTAGGCAGGTTTATACATGTTACATTTATCCAGGCAGTAACCAGATTTTGAGGGCCAGTAATTAGCATCGAAATGCAAGCATGAGACCAACCCCAACACCTTCCTCAGGCTCCTCTGAGCTGCCGTACAGGCCTGTGCACCAGGCCCTGCTTTTAGACAGCAAGGTGGAGGCAAAGCTGGAAAAGCCATCATGATGTTCACGGAAAGGGCTTCCTAATCCAGGCATCCGGCAGTGCTGTGGCTTCTCGGTGGGCGTGGCTCTGTGTTGACCCCTTACGGGGCCCCTAGGAGAGAAGCATCCCTGTGTTTGTGGCAGTCCCAGAACTGTGGTGGGCGCATGCAGCCCTTTCCGGACTGCTGTGGCGTCTCTGCCACCAATAGTGGCCATGAGTGAGCGGCCAGTGAAAGGAAAATAAAGCTGTCTCAGGGTCAGTAAGGGACACGCCTGCAGCCCTTTCCTTTTGCAGGCTCCTCATGGCCACGGTTCATCTGTGTTTTTATCCTGGCTTTGCGAAAGGTGTCATGGCAGCAGTTAACCTCTTTGCTGTTGGCTGCCTGAGGAAATTGAGTTCCTTTGAACCGAGAACATGCTTGAGTTAGCTGCAGGTCCACAGCTGCTGTCGCAAGAGTTAATAACAAACCAACAGTAAAACCCAGCCAGTTTACAGTCTCTTACTTTGCCAGCTGCCTATAAAGCAAATTCACCCCAAAGGAAATGACAGGCATAAACAAATTCAGTGAAAGTTGACTTAGCAGATTCTCCCTGTGGTGTGTGACACAGAATCCAACAAGCCTGTCGTCAGGATTCCTGCAAGAAGCCTTTCATCTTTCACACTGATTACCTTGCTGCCAGAGTAAGTGGCCACACGGAACTGTCTTAAACAGCTGTGAGTAAAGAAGTCCTGTATTAAAGTTGGTCTCGGTCCTTCCTGAACAAGCCCCATCAGTTTACACACTGAGATGCAGAAGAGCCGTGGAGCTTTGCAGGGCTGCTAAAACAGGATGTTATGAACTGAATTCTTTCCTTCACTAGCTTGGAATTCATACTTGAGACGGACGGGTGCTGCCACCTGGCCTTTGATGTGGCCGTTAGAGCCCCTGCCCAGTCCACTTCGTCACCCTCAGTCAGCTGGCTTCTGGCTCTCTGTGCTCAGACGTGGGTACCCTTGGCCTTATAGGGCTTCTGTGGACTCTGCTTCTGGAACGTGTCCAGGTGTAGTCAAAACAGAACGAAGTGGTATCGGTCCCTCCCAAAGCCTGGCGTCAGTGCTGCGGAGCTCAGGCTCCGAGTGCTGCAGGGACAAGACATGAGCGTGCGCTGGACCGGCGCCCTCAGACGTGCTGACCGGCGCGTCGGTGTCTCCGTGGCTGTGAGCCACCCTACAGCGTGTGCAGCCACGCAGCTCTGGGCTCTGCCCTTGCCTCTGTGACTTTCTAAGCATCAGAAGCCATGTGTAAGCCATGAAGGCTCTGACACTAGGGTTTTTTCTAAGGTTTTGGGTGAAATGGAGAATTGGAACAGAGAATTTTTTTTATCATATCTAACAAATAATGGGCTCTCAGTAATTGTCCATTATTTTGGTTAAAATTTTACAAAAGTGAATTTCTTTTTCTTAGAATTTAAAGAACCGTTGTTGTGAATTCCTGCAAACAGCGTACACATTTAACTTGACAGAGTTCTGTGCACTGAAGTCAGGCCTAAAGCATGCGAACTGACTGCCAAAACCCTGTCTGGCTTTGAAGTGGTGGCATCTCTAAGTCGGTGTTTGTGTGAGGTGTGGACTCATCCCAGACCCTTCCGCTGCATAACCTAGAGCCCCCGCCCTCAGGGCACACTCAGCAAGAGACCCTACTGTGCGTCCTGTGATGCAAGCGCAGAGGCTGTGTTGCAGCAGCTCTGCTTAGCTCTGCATGCGAGGAAACCTGCTGGCGCTGGCCACCCCTCGTCTGTTGCTTCAGCTCGAGCTGGGATTGTCCCTGCAGCCCTGTGCAGTGTCTTAGCCTCAGTATCACACTTGACTTGAGTGGGGATCCAATAAGAAGCTGATCTTGTCAAAAGCACCAGCCAGCTGGTGTCATTCTCTTCTGCTCTTCCCAGAGCCTGCCGTTTTCTGCCCGACAGCAGACTGGCGCAGCAGACCTGCCCAGCCCTGGGCTTCCCGCTGCCCTGCCAGGATTTCCTCTTAGGTGCTGGGCTCACCATCAACACCTTCCCGCCAGTTCCTGCTGGGGCAAGGTGTGTGCTCTTACATCCAGCCCTCTCCCTTTCCTCCTCCCCCCTCCGCACTGTTCCCAGGGAGCCCTGGGGCTGACAAAAGAAGCCGGAAGTGGCCCAGAGCAGTGCCTTGTTTTGAAGAGCTTCAGAGCAGCTTTTGTTGTAGCACAGAGCATTTAGTGCTGGGCCGGCCTTTCTACATTGGTGCCGACCCTGAAAATCAGCAGTGAAAGACTGATTTACCACAACTTCTGTGCTTTGTGCTGAGAAATTCTGAGCCAGCAGACAGGTGCCCGGGTCACAGAGATTATTAGCAGAGAACGCAGCCCTGCGCGGGAGCCTCATTCTGCCACACAGCATGGTCTTCAGTAACTTCTGGACTGTTCACTGGTCAGAGCTGAAATAAAACCCAATCTCTGCTGCTGTTTCTCTCTACTCAGTTAAACACAGTGGTTGATGAGCCACCATGGCCCGCTGCCGGCCAGGTCACGTTCCCTCCTGTCCGGATCCTGCAGCTTCTAAAGCTGGAGAGAAGGGTTAGCAGCTCTGCCGCCTGCCGATTGCTGGTTATTGTGGAACTGTTGACCGGGAACTGCCGAGAAGGTCAGCCTTTCTGAAGTCAGGGTTAACGCCTGACGAGTGTCCAGTGTCAGGGCTGAGAGTGTGGCCAGAGTGTGGCAGGGGAGGGAGCTGTTGGCTTCTCCCTGCAGCTTGCACACCAGATCTCTCCTGCTCTGATCGAGGTGTCTGCTGAGCTGTTTCCCTCTGCTGCTGCGGCCCTAATGTAGATCCACCTTTCACCTGAGTCACTGTTGAAGCCTCCTGCTTGGTCTGTGGCTTCATCCAAGGCTGACTGTAGTGAGTCCTCTGCCGGTGTGCACCGTGAGTGTGTGCTGTGATACTAACCACCAGGAGGACAGGCTTTGTGTCCTCTTAGCCAGGGTGTGAAGCAGCCGCAGCCCGTGCATCAGGACTTTGCAGGAGTCCTTCCCTTGGCCAGCCTTCCAGATGCTTGTGAGACCATTATCACAAGGATGGCACGTGGCTGGGGCCCCCCGCCATTGGCCTCCTTCCTCAGGGACATTGCTGCTTTCACTTGCAGTCTGAGCACACAGCTGCCTCCCTGGCCAGGGACGCCATTTCACTCCTGTCTGTTCCAGCACCTAGCTCAGTGTCCTGTACACACCGCTCAGTGACTCACTGTTAGAACTGGCCCCTGCTGAGTCTAACTCCTTGACAGATGCAGTGAAAGTTTAGCTTTGGCAGCTGAAATGGCAGGGTTTTTTTTATTAAGAATTATTTTTCAAATTAACTTTTTGTATCTCTATAACTTACATGTGTCTTTTGTTTGTGACACACGTGTCAGTGCCCTGTGTCAAAGGGCACCTGTGGGAGTCAGCTCTTTGCTTCCCAGTGGGTTCCAGGGCTTGAACTCGGGTCATCAGCTTGGCTGGACGGCAAGCACTCTCGCCTACTGAGCCGTCTTGCCAGCCTTTTTTTTTTTTTTACTGGGTAAGCTGTTTTCCTCGTCTAGGACAACGGTGTCCTTGTAATCATAAACAGTGGGATGGTGTCATGTCCGAGTCACAGAGTTGATAGCTCTGTGTGTGTGTGGGAAGCAGTTCCTTCTGTCCTGAGTGTGCTGGCCAGCACGCTAACGAGGTCCGTGTTCTCTGTGTTAGACTTGTGCTTCCGGAGAAGGCTAGGAGGCTCAAATCTAGTCGCCCTTCGCTCTGAGGTCCCTCTCGCCAGGTCTGTGGCCGCAGAACGTGCTGTTTCTCCGAAGCCCACTGCAGTTTGGGGGAGTCCTTTAATTGCCCTGGGCTTGAGTTTCCTGTCTGTAAAAGAGTTCTCACTCCCAGGGCTGTGTAAGAGGGGCCAGTGCGTTAATGGTGTGGGAACTTATGAAGTAGCTGTGTGCTGAGTCTCCTGGTGCCTCTGGCTGTGTCTCCCGGCCTGTTCTCCCCGTCGCCTGCCGAGCTTTCCCTGTGCTGGGACCTCTGTGAGTCCACGTCCAGCTGCTCGTCCACATCCAGCTGCTCGTCCTGGTCCGCCGCTGGTGCTGTTCAGCGCCAGGCCGAGCGTGGGGCTCCGGGAGAGCACAGGGCCTGGCAAGGTGTACTGACTGAGCGAGGGAGTGTGGTGCAGCCAACTGGGAAGGCAACAGATCATGTGGAATGGAGACTCGTGAGGGTGTGGTAAGGCAGGGAGAGAGAAGAGGCGTGTGTGTGTGTGTGTGTGCGCGCGCGCGCGAACAGAGGGCAGGAGAAGGGAATGGCTGCTGGAGCTGCAGGTGACGGTGAGCTGGTGCGGCGGCAGTTCTCAAGGGGCCTGTGCAGTAGTGGCTGTCAGCGCTGAGCCGGCTCTCCGGGCTGGTGGCCTGGCAGCCACACCTCCTTTTTGTGAGCACCTGTAGGTGTTTTCACTTCCTGAGCAAAATCACAAGTCACCTCTGGATTTCCTTCCTCTGCTTGCCATGTGCCCATGCGGGTGTGCACTGGCGTGCATGCCCTGGTTTTCACAGAGGCTGGAGGGCGATGTCTGCTGCGTTCTCGCACACTCTCTTTGCTTCCTTGAAACATGCTTTTCTCTGAACAGGAAGCTGCTGGTGGGCAGGCTGGCTGGCCAGGGGCGCCCGTCTGTGCTCGTCTTTGGGGTTGGGCGTCAGTAGCCAGGCCTGGCTCCCACGTGTGCTGGAAATTTGAAGTCAAGGCCTCACCCTTGCAGATATCCTTAGCCCCTACCTTTAAAGGCTGTGGTGGGACAGTGAACATTTTCTAAAAGACATTAAAGTTAAGCAGAAGTAAAAGAGGAAGTGACGCAGAGCTCACCTTAACTGTGTAAATAAAGCTGCTCGGCACAGCCGCTCTTTTGGAAAGGTGCGTGTCTGCAGGCAGCGAGGAGGGCGGAGCGTGCAGCGTGCGGTGCACGTCTGCTTCCAGCCCCCACGCTTGCCACTAGCAGCTTTCCCAGGTTTGTGCTTTCCCTCTTCACCTCCTCCTGCCTGTTCTTCAAGGTGTTGGAGGCTGCTGAGGCCCCTAGCAGTCCGGAGCAGGCAGCACAGAGGGGGTGCTAGGGACATGGGGCGGGAACAGAGCCTGCGGCTGTGCTATCTGCCCTCTTCTGCCACAGAGGCCCTGACCAGCATACAGGGAAACGCAGCCTTGGCCGTGAGGGCTGTAAGGGGCAGGACTAGCCAGGTAGGGGCTTTACGGTGGCAGGAGAGCGAGGCAGCTAAACACTGGAGTGCCTGCCTGCATTCAGCTCCGGGGCCCTCATGCTGGGACAGCCCCCGAGCGCTCTGCCTGTGGGGCCGCTTAGGCTGACAGGTCCCCAGCTGAGAGCTGGGGTCTGCACAGCACGCTGCCTGATGGTGGACTGAGTGAGAAACTGGCCTAGGCCAGGCAGCTGTGAGCTTAGATGTGACCAGAGTAATAATGGACCTTGAATTCTTGAAGAAAAATGCTGAGTTGCCAATGAAATGACTCAGTATCTAGGATTTCCTTCAGGATGAATTGAAGGTCCCAGCTAACTCTAACCCAGTGGATCCGTGAGCTCAGGCTGTCCTGTTTGTCCTGTGGTTATCAGATACATTTTCCTTCTATCTGCATCTTTGTTTATTGCGTACCATATGCTGTTTTTGGTTTTTTCCTTTAAAGAAGACGTGTTTGTCTTTAGTTGTGCAGGGTGTGTCTGGGGGGGGATGTGCACGTAAGTGCGGTGCCCTCAGAGCAGCGGAGGCCCATGTTCCCTGGAGTTGCAGTCCAGGTGCTTGTGAGCTCCCTGATACGGGCGCTGAAAGCCAGAGTCAGGCCTCTTGAAGAGCTAGGTGTGCTCTTAGGCATGGAACCCTTTCATGGTTTTGAGATAAGGTCTGTCCGTGAGCCCAGGCTTGCCCTGACCTTCCACTCATAGTCTGTAGGTGTCTGAGCAGGTGAGGGAACAGGCTTGCACTGACTGCTGCAGCCTCCTCGACTTCTGTTTCCTGTCAGCCTTAGCGACTCCAGCCCATCCAACTGATGGGGTCCTTCAGAAGGACTTCCTTTCCCGGCTGAGCGGGCAGCTCCTTGGCTCTGTCCTAGCTTTCATGATTGACTTGGTCTCTGCTGGGTGGCAGTCTTCGTGACTTAGTTTCCGCCTGTGTGTCCCCTCTCATAGCGCTCCAGGCTTGGATGAGTGACTTCTCGTGTGGGAAGGGTGGCAGCTCGTTCCCTCAGAAGTTTGGGGTGTGGGTCGGCCATGGTGAGCCTGTCAGCCTCACGATCCAGCAGGCCTGGAGCGGCTGCTGTCCTCTCAGGACTCTGTCTCCTCAGCACCGCAGGGCTGTAGAGTTTTGGAGCCTGGGCCTGGCTCCCATAAGCAGCCCGGAGCCAAAGCCGGCTCTCCTCGGAGCTTCCCAAACTGCAAAGCCCCAGCTCGGTGTCAGCTCCCTGGAAAGCAGACTCCACTCCGGAGAATGGCCGGAGTTGGGAGGAAAGCGGCCAGCCGTTTTCACATTTCCGCCACCAGCAGTTCGAGCTCACATGGTTCTCGTGGATTGCACTCGCTGTGACCCTGCACAGCTTCTTTTAAAGTAGCAGTTGTCGCTAGGTGGGGTAGCACGCTCAAGCCCAGCATTTGGGCACCTGAGACAGGTTTGCGGGTTCAAAGCCAGAGAGACTAAGGAGAGAAGACAGTGAGATTTGCTTCAGAGAGGTAGAGAGAGAGGAGAGAGGGAGGGAGGGAGAGAAGAAAGAGACTTTCGTGAGGCTTTGTGAGTGGAGAACATTTCAGAGTGACAGCCTGGGGGAGAGCCGCCGTTCTAGGCCTCACTCTGCCGCCCGGGCTTGCCTCGCCTGAGTGTGGGTTGAAGGTGTGTTCGCCTGGCCTACTGTAGCTTCTTGGTGCCCTTTAGAAGCAGCCTTTCCAGTGGACTTCGTCTGCCCTACACTGTATTGTAGGCGGCCTGGCAGCAAAGCACCAGCACTGACAAAACTCACTGTTTCAAGAACAGAAAATAAAAATAACAACAAAACAGTTTGGAGTGTGTGAAGCTGCCATGACAACAAACAAAAACTGTCCAGACGTGTCTCCCACTCCGTGATGTCCCCTGTCAAAACAGAAATGGCCTCCAGATGTGTCCTCACATCCTGGTCTAACTCTCACAGTGCTTTGTCCTCCCTGTCATTCCCACAGTGTGTTAGAAAGACCGTACTTTATCCGGTCGTTATAACAGGTGAGTGACATCACACTGAGGAAGCTCAGAAGTCACAGCCGCCCGCAGCTACAGAAATTGAGGCTAGGCAAAGCAGCAGAGCGCCCTGTCTGGTGTGACACATCCTTGTGTTAGGGCTCAGGCCCACCGTCTGTGCTCCAGGACAAAACCAGGGCAGAAGCTTCAGGAAGGGAATGGCTTCCGCAGGAGCATGCTCTCTTCACTCAGGGTTGTGAGCAGAGGTGGCCCGGGCGGCGTGCAGGCGGGGCCTCCTCCTCCCACACAGCCGCAGAGGAGCTTCGTTCTGTGACACGTTTCTTTTCTTTCAGAAAACTGAGGAGTGGGAGAAGAACAAGTCTGAGGAGGACAAGGCCGAGTACGAGTGGGAAAGAAGCCCCTCGGAGAGGAGTGTGGCGCAGACACTGCTGCAGATGCGAGCCTCGGAGGGCGGGGCGGCCCCGAGCAGGGAGGAGCTCCTGCGGAGCGCCGAGGCCCAGGAGTACCGGCGCTGTGTGGTGCGCCTCAAGAACGAGGGCGAGACCCAGGCCAGCCTCGCTCAGTACAAGGAGGCCGTGAGGAGACTGTTAGATCTGGCGTGAGGCCCGCTTGTCACTTCCACGTGTATCAGTCAGTGGTACGCAATAAACGGAAATGGTCAGGAACCCGCCTCTAGTTACTCCCACCTCTCCGGCTCCTGTGCCCTGCGTGTCTGGGGCCTTACACCGGGCGGGGGTGCTGCTCCGCTCCGCTTCTCTGGTTCTGGGGTGCGCTCACTTTATGTCCCCTCCAGTTCTGTGCTCACCTGACGGTATGGTTTTTCCAGCGGCTGCGTGTGTCCACTTCTGGGGTTCAGTGTCTGCTGCTCAGCGAGGGTCGGTGGCCAGCCCAGTGCCACACTCCTGGGCACTGCAGGGCACGCCCTTGCTGCTCCCAGCCCTACTTCACACCCTGCCTTTCGGGCTGGCTCTGTGCCATAGCTGGTGGCACAGCAGCCACACAATACCAGCGCTACAGCGAATGCCACAGTCCTGGGCCTGTAAACCTGTCATGGCAAAAGCTGTTCCCAGATGTGGGGTGCTTCCTGACAGGCTGTGCAAGCGGAGGCTTGGGACCCGCCACCGCTGCCTGTCCTGCAGCTGACTGGTTCTGTCCCTTTCTGCGGCCGTGTGACGTCACTCTGGCTCTGGCCTCTTGCTCACTGGCTCACACTCGGCTGGCAAGAGGCCAGTGGAAGCTGCCCACTGCCTTCTCCTTGCCCCAGTCTGCCCTGCCAGGGAAGACGGGGGTGATGACAGGGTGACAGCCGCTGTGCACTGAGCTTCAGTGTGGGGAGGCTTGTGTGTGTGCTTGAACACAGGGACTTACACATCCTCGGCTCACACTGCCACTGAGCCACGTCCTCAGCCCAGTCCAGTGCTCTTAGGTGGATCTGAAGTCCTTGAATGTCTGAGGGAAATGAGAGTAGGCTAAACAGTGCGAGCCGTGTGTATGTGCGTCTGTGTGGTGGCTCCTGGCACTGAGTTGGAGTTCTGTGCAGGAACAGTGTATGCTTTTCACCATGGAGCCATTTCTGTAGCCCCTGGTTTTACTGGTGTGTCACCACTTTGGAGACTCGAGTGGCCTGGGTTCAGAGTCGGGCTGGCAGGAGCGTGGGGTTCAGGGCTGGGCATGGGGCGGCTGAGCTGTGCTTCCACGGAGCTTCCCGGGCTTCGGGACTGTGGCTGTGTCACGGGAGAGTGTGAGGTGGGGTCATCCATGGCCCTGGAACATGGCCTGCGTGAGGGGCCAGCCCTGGGGCCTGGGCTGTGGCTCTGTCCCTGACGGCCACACCTTTGTGAACACTAGTCAGGTGTGGCAGCCTGGAGCCAAGATGCTAGTGTGTGCAGAGTCGCAGCCAGCATGGGTGACAACAGGCCAGCCATCGACAGCAGCCTCTCCACCGACACGGGACCTGTGTGTAGCTGTCTCGCCAGTGTGGGGGGTGGTTTGGCCGGACCCCGAGAGGCCTCTGACGTCCATGGCTTGAACATCCTGCTCTCTCCTGTGCCAGTGCCCAGTGGGGATGAGAAGTGAGATGGGCACGGTGCTGTGACTGTCCGTCCGGGCTGTTGTCGTCAGCTCGGAGTGACCCCAGCACTCACCTGTGTGTCTTGGCGTGTGGCCTGGACTGTGCCCTGTGCCTCTCAGGTTGCCCAAGGGCACAGAGCAGCTGAGGAGGTGGCTGCATCAGCCCCTCACAGTCACGTCTGTAACACTTCCTGGGCCAAGTCCGGTTCCCAGAGGGTATCTCTTGTACCTCCGAGGTGTGGGGGAAATCCCTCAGCCTTTCGCCCAAATTCAGGACCCTGGAGCCGGGCGTGCTCACACGCCTTCATCCCAGGAGTCCTCTGCTGCACACCAAGAGCCTCAACAGCGAGAACCCGAGCAGCTCCTGAAAGACGGCCCTGCGTGAACACACTGTCGGGACACAGTCTCTGGAAGTACTTGTTTAAATACAACGCCCTTGCTGCTCCCAGCCCTACTTCACACCCTGCCTTTCTGGCTGGCTCTGTGCCATAGCTGGTGGCACAGCAGCTTTTGGGGCAACACTTTTGGGGCAAGTGTTCCCGCAGGGCTACTGTGTGTGCGCACACACGAACACACACGAACAAAGTTGGTGATTTAAATCCGAATGCTCGTCCACAGCTGCTGTGGAACTTTGGAGTGCCGCAGGAAAGATGCTGATAAAGTTGAAGTTTGAATCATGAGCAAATCAAGGTTTTTAATCCAGTTTTTATTTTGCTCAGTACAGCAGTAGACAGGCTTTCTTATGTGTGTGCACACTGCCGTGCGTGTGTGCACACGTGCAAGTTGCATCTGTGCATATGGTGGGTATTCTCTCACTTGCATTACGGCGTGTGAGCACATCCCTGCATATTCCGTGTGTGCACGTGCGTTCGTTCCTGTGGTGGACACCCCATCACATCTGCTACTGTGCGTGCACGCGCCTGCCCACACCCCAGCACTCTTGGAGGTCAGAGCACAGCTTGCGGAGTTTGCTCTCCTTGCACCCTGTGGGTCAAGGGCCGGGAGCACTAATCCAGGGCGCCTGAAAAGCAGGAAGTGCTCGCTTGCAGCCGACACTGCTCATGCTCCTTTGCACCCTCTACCAGTTTCATCACATCTAACAGTAACAGTTACTGAGCAGTGGCGTGTGAGCCAGGCCCCCGGTGACCTCTCCCCCGGCCTTTTCTTTTAAGGACAGGGTCTCCAGCAGGCCAGGCTGGCTTTGCACTAGCTGAGGGTGACTTGTGATCCCCTCCCACCTCTCTTCCGGAAGTGGACAGCAGCCGGCCCTAGCCTTGGCCCCAGCCTTGGCCCTGGAATCTGCAGCTTTATTTCTACCTCAATGCTGTTTTCTTACAGAGCCAACAGTGGAGCCCTAGCCAGGCTCCACCTTAGAGCCCCTCCCTGGGTGTGCCCCGCTCGTTGCCGGCCTCGTCCTTCTGTGTGACTGTGTTGTGCCCGGCCTCATCCTTCCACGTGTCTGTGCCGTGCTCGGCCCCGGGCCCTGCCTCTCGCTGTCCCAGGTGAAACCAGCGCTCCCCTCGGCCTCTGCACACCCGTGTGAGCACACAGCAGAGGCTGACCATGGTGGCCGCACCGAGGGCTGCGGAGGCCAGCCACCCCACACACCCCCAAGTGCTGCCCTCGCTCGTGTGGCTGGCCCCTGGGGCCCCCTGTGCTGCGGTCAGGGCTAGCCCGCTCGCGCTGAATAGGGGGCGGCTGGGCCGCTGAGTCACGTGTGCCGGCCCGGAGGAGGGAGAGGGGGGCTCGGCTGCACTTCGGGGCAAGTGTGCGCTGCGAGACACCGCCGTGCTGGCCCTCCAGGCCGCAGACACCCCAACCGATGCCGAGCTGCTCACCACGGCTGTGCTTGAGCTCCCGAAATAGCCTGTGCCTGCACGCAGGTCGAGGGGTGCAGATGACACTGCAGCCTCTGCAGAAGGCCCTGCGAGCTTTACCTCGTCGGCATGCATGCCTGCGTGACCTGCACTCATCGCCTTCAGCATCCACAGTCGCTCCCACCGCTCGGCCGAGGAGCGGGTGTGGAGGTGTGCGGGAGAGGAGTGCTCAAACACCAGCAGGTCGGGGTCCCGGCCTGAAACAAGGAGATCGTGCGATTTTAAAACGATAGTCTGCCGAGGGTACACTTGGCTGCCCTGACACGGCTGTGGGCACAGTCTGCACGCTGAGAGCTTGCCTCGGGGTGTGCGAGCTCCTGCCTCGTGGCTCTGAGGGCCACTGCAGGCCGCAGCTGTCCTGTGTCCTGACTCTCTGCTTGTCCTTCTGACCTCAGACTCTCTGTGCTGTCCTGTCCTGACCCTCTCTCTGTGCTGTCCTTCTGTCCTAACCCTCTCTCTGTGCTGTCCTTCTGTCCTGACACTCTCTGTGCTGTCCTCTGTCCTGCCGCTCTCTGCTGAGGACAAACATGGCTGTGCTGAGAAGGCCTTGCTTATAAAGAAAGCTTCGTGCCATGGTCCTCCTGCCACAGGGAGCACCACACGCCACTTTAAAATGAGCTGGCAAAACCGCCAGGGAAAGGGTCCTGTGACGCTGGCAGCTGCCACAGCTCCCTGCTTCAGTGTCTGTCTTCTCTCCTCTCAGGTGCCCCAACACCTGCCTGCCGGGGCAGGAAGAGGAAGCCTGTGCCGCCTGACCTGGCTCTCTGCCAGCAGTCCTGTCCTCTGTCCCCTCCTTCCCCAGTTTTGGCCTCCTGACAGCGGTTTGTCCCTCCTCCTTTTGTAAACCTCAGCTGCTGAGGCCATGACCTGGCTTCCTCACTGTGCCCTGTCAGCCGACCTTGGGTCTCTCCTTCAGCCTGTGGCTTGTGTGTCCGCTGTCTGTCCGTCCTAGTTAGTTTCTGTTGTCCACTTGACATAAACTCAAGCCACCTGGGAAGAGGGAGCTGCCACTGAGGAACCAGCCTGAGGGTGCTGACTGATGGTCGTGTCAGAGGCTCAGGCTGCTCTGGGCCTGGGCTGTATAAGAAGCTGGCTGAGGGGCTGGAGAGATGGCTCAGCGGTTAGGAGCACTCTCTGCTCTCCCAGAGGTCCTGAGTTCAGTTCCCAGCACCCACGTGCTGACTCCCAACCATTTGTAGTGAGATGTGGCGCCCTCTTCTGGTGAGCAGGTGTGTGTGCAGGCAGAGGACTCACACAAAAGCTACTACTGCTAAAGCCAGTTGGGCTCAAGCCTGGGAGCAAACAGTGCTTCTACCTCAGTTTCCCGCCCTGATGTCCCCCTGCCCCTCCCCATCCCATGATGGGTTGTGAGCTGGGAATCAGAGATAAAACGACCTCCCCCCCCAAACACACACATCCATTAGTCACTCTCTGTGATAAAACATGGCCAAAAGCCACTTAGAAGGCATTTCTGTGGCTATGGTGCCAGAAGGAAGAGGCACGAGGGCGGGAGTGTGGCGGTCAGAGCAGGAAGCAGAGCACTCTGGATGTGGGGCAAGCCTACATAACCCAAGGCCTGCCCCGTGCTGCACAAGGCTTGCTGAGCTTCACCGAGAGCACCACCGCCGGGGACAGCCTCCGCGCGGGCATTTGCACTCAAGTGCTGCACTCCTCGAGCTGCTTCCGCCGGGTTGTCCTCCAGGCCCTGACTTCTCCAGCGCTCTGGCAGACGCGTGCCCCGCACAGCCCAGGCCTGGTATCTGAGTGTGCCAGGCCCCGGCTTCCGCCCGACCCCTGTTGTGGGCTGGGAGCAGCCGGGGTTGGCTCATCCCGGGGAGCCACAGGTTGTCCCCAGCCCCACACACACTCCTAGTGCACCCTCCTTCCCTGATGGCGGCCATGGCCTTGTCCCAGCCAGTACCTGCTGTCACGTTGTACAGCACGGCGCCAGCCCCGGGGCCCAGGATGCAGCTCTCCAGCGTCGGGCAGTGCACGTGGAGGCAGTTGACGTTGTCGTGGATCGGGTCGTGGAAGAAGACGGCCACGTTACAGGAAACTGAAAGGGCCAAGGGAGTGTGCGTAGGCGTGTGTACTTACACCTAAGAGTCAGGCTCACTGTGTGGCCCAGGTGTGCCTCCAACTTGTGACGGCCCTGCCCAGCCTCCTGGTGCTGGGATCACGGGGCCGTGACCACCAAGCCGGGCTCGCTAACCCACCAGACGCCTGAGCAGCGAGCGCCTGCCCTTCCTGGACCGTGGACTTACGCCAGTGTGCTATGACTGGGCATTCCACAGAACATCAGACGCTATTAAAGCGGTGTAGCACACCTGTTTGGAAGAAAACGACTCTAAATACTCCCTGACACCTTCTTTCTGCAGAGGACACCTGGGATTTTGGGTTGTTTGAGGCAGGGTCTTGCTAAGTGGCTCTAGCTGGCCTGGAACTTGCTGTGTAGAGAAAGTCTGGATTTGGGCCTGGCAGCAGCCCTCCCCCGAGTGGCAGAACCAGCCTTAGCTAACTGACTGCTTAGAGAGAGGCTCTAGTAGTCCTGGCTGGCCTGAAGCTCACTGCGTAGACCAGGCTGGCCTTGCACGTGGAGACCCGCTGCCTCCGCCTGCGGGGATTGAAGGTGCACAGAACCATGTTAGTCTTATAATGTCTGTGCATGAAAAACCTCAGTTGTCTGCATGAAGCTCTGGCAGGTACCGGCCTGGGTTCCAGGCATAGCACGTTCTCTGGGTGCTGAGTTCCTGGGCCACAACAGGAAAGAGGAGGAAGCAGAAGGAAGATGTTGCCACCACAGACAGCGAAGCCCAAGTATGGAGGACAGAAATCGATCAGGGAACTCTGAAGATAGCATAGCCACACTCTGCCCTGTGCCGTGCACCCACATTCCATACTCCACCAGACACGTCTTCTAAATCAGGCGTGACACTAAAGCCACCACAAGCTATTTTAAGAGGAAATTAGTAATTTTAAAAGTAAATCACTGTAAATCCTTTTTGTCTGTAATTTGGTTTTGTTTTTGAGATGAGGCCTCGGACCAGGTCTCAGCTCACAGTGTGACTAAGGCTGGCCTTGAACTCTTGATCCCCCTGCCTCCAGCTCGGGATGGGGTTACAGATGTGGGCCATGGCACCCAGTCTATCGGAAACATTTTGGGGTATGAAGAAATCAAGTCAGCACCTTATCAAAGAAAGCAGGACGCCACGGGCTCTACAGCATCGCGCAGCTCCTGTTCAAAGCCATCTGCTCTGATGCTGCCCATCCCACTACCCATGCGGGTCCTCCCCCGCCTCTCTGCCCGTCAGCCTGTGCTCACCGTCCTTCCGCAGGCAGCAGCTCCGGCTGCAGCGCTGGCCGGTGTTCTCCGAGTAGTACCTGAGGAACTGGGCGCCCAGCTTCTGCGACTCCTCCAGGTCCAGCCGCAGCCCCGGGAAGCGGCGGATCCAGCAGCCTCTGTAGAAGACGGTGGGCGAGCAGAGCCCCTGCGCCGTGCATGCCAGCCCCAGCAGCAGCAGCAGCCTGGCCGCCTGCATCCCGAAGAGCTGGAGGGGGCTGCAGTGGGGCTGACCACGCCAGGCGGAGCCGACCTCGGCCAGGGCGGGCGTCTGCGGCCCTGCACGTCCTCCCTCCTCCATGAGAGCGCGGGCCCTGCCTGGGCCCTCACCCTCTCCAGCAGGCCTCGGGTGCTCTGACCCTTCCTCTCTTGAAGACGATGCTCCCCTCCGATTCTCTTCTTTCTCCTCACTCCGGTGTCAGTGACACCTTTTCCTAGGAGGATATACAGGCTGGGAGAAACCCTAGCCGGAGCCCTGCTGAGCAAAACAATTACCCAGTCCCTTGACAGCAGACTGAGGAGGCTCTGTTTTCAGAAACAACGCATTTGTGAGGCGTCCAGGGTAGGCTGGAGGGCTGAGGCTGCAAGTGTTAAGGTGTTGCTGTTGAGGCTCCCCAGAAAACCAGTTCACGTACTTGTCTGACCTTTCATTACACAAACAAAAACCAAAAGAAAAAATGGAAGAAGAGATATATTTAAACTGTCTAATTTCCCCATAACTGCCAAGTCTGTGTGCGTCTCAGGGCCAGCAGCTTTCACGGGAGCCAGTCGTAGCTTTCTTCCTAAAAGGGAGCATTAAACTTGCTCACCCCAAAGCTCATACCGAAGGGGAAACACAACAGCCATGAGAGGGCACAGGCTCCTCAGGCCCGCAACCTGTTCTTCCTGTTCCTCTGCACAGAAGACAGAGCCGACTCCATGGCCTGACTCTCTGCTGGACCGCACAGGAGCCCTTGCACATGCGTGTACACCGCTCACACCATGGTGCCCAGAGCTGGTGTTCAAACTCAGCCCACTCGGCTCCCTCAGCCTGACCTTACCCCCTCCCCCGTCTTCCTGTCTCTGGTTTTTCCAGATAGGGTTTCTCTGTGTAGCCTTGGCTATCCTAGAACTCCCTCAGTGGACCAGGCTGGCCTCAAACCCAGACCCCCTGCCTCTGCCTCCCGTGCCAGGTGGGACTAACAGCGCCGGCCGGCCTGGGGCCACCACCGCCCTGAAGTTAGCCTAACCCAGAAGTCTGCTGTGGAGACAAGTTCTTATTTTTACAGATGTCCCAGCATCTTGGCCCTGAGAGATATCTTTGAGGCAGGCTGGCTAGCCTGGGACTTGTTATGTAGCCCAGGGTGGCCTTAAGCTTGGGGGGGGGGGGGTTGCTGTGGGTGTCCAGTGTGGGGCTCAGCAGCCAGTCACTTGTTCTCCACACACTGATGCCTTCAGTGTCACTGCTGCCCGCTGCGGGAAGAGACGGTCGGCAGAGGCTGAGCGCAGCAGTGATCTCCCCTCCGGTTGAGGCCTTGTGTCACCCTTTAATGAGCAATGACAGCTCCAGCCAGTCAGTCCATGACATTAAGCATCCACCCAGCCCTGACTCACAGCTCGGCTGCTCTGCCATGGAGTTTGAGCTTGTCTTGATGCCCAGCTTTGTAGAGCACCCGCTGCGCGCTTTACTAAAGTTACTGGATCTCTTAAGATGCCCCGCTGTGTTGTCGGAGGCCTGGCGGGCCGGGTGCCCGGGCACGGGATGGGTCCCCTTCAGGTCAGGTGACACTGCAGACCACAGGCCGGCTGCGCCCAGCGCGCCAGCGTGACCGCGGCTGACCTGCCTCGCTGTGAGAATCAGTCTCAAAGGCTGGCTTTTTGGTTTGCTTCTAAAAGGCAAGAGAATGCCAGTTGAAGGCAGGTCTGAGGTCGAGAAACAAAAGCCTCCATTGGTAAAGATTCTAAAAGCGGTTCCAGTGACGCACGCAGTCCCGCCGCGTTGCCGATGGGAGCACGGACAGCCCAGGCCCGGGCTCTGCCGTCCGCCCTCCCAGACGCCCGCAGCTCAAGTCTAAGGGTGGATGCGGCACTTTGCCTCTCCAGAGAGACTGCGGAGTCTCTGCCCCACCGCACCCGCTCTCGCCCACGCAGTCGGGAGTGAGGCGCCGGGGCAGGGTGGCTTGGGCCTGTTGGTCCCAGGGAGCGGAGAATCCAAGAAAGTGAAGTGTGTTGGGTCCCCTAGGAAGGCGGGACCGACAGGGCGTCCTCTGCGCTTTCCCGCCCCTCAGCCTCGCTGTGGACGGACACGCCTCACCTCGCCCCCGCCCCCGGGGTCGGGCCTTCCCGCCAAGCAGCCCACCGGGAAGATGGGCAAAGGTCGTCTCCCAGCAGCATGGCGGGATGAGGGGGTGGGTGGGTAGGTGGGTGTGCGAGCGGCCAAGTGCTACCCGGGTCAAACTTCTGCCCAGAGGTGACGGAACCAGCGAATCTCCGTGTCCTTTCCACGCACCCGCCTCGCCCTGGGGCTCCGTGTCTTCACACACTCTGCTGTCTCTGGTGCTGGGCTCTGAACTGTCCCTGGAGCCCCAACCATGGCACTGCCCTCCTGTCTGTCGGTGTGTCGGTGTGTCTGGTCCACGGAGTCAATAACTCTTCTAAGAAACTCCTTAGCCCAAGTAGTCCGTCCGTACTCTTAAACCACCCGGCAGGTCCAAACCTCACAGTCCCGACTGGTTCAGAAAAACTCACCCAGGGACTGTGGGGCTGCGGGACATACCGGAGAACAAGCACAGTGGCCTGCGCGCAGGAGGAGGTCACGCGAACGCACGCGTCTGTTTCCTAACCAAGTACTGCGCGGCCCGGGGCGGAGCCTGCGAGGTCCGGGGCGGAGCCTGCGCGGCCGGGGGCGGAGCCTGCGAGGTCCGGGGAGGAGCCTGCGCGGCCGGGGGCGGAGCCTGCGCGGCCCGGGGCGGAGCCTGCGCGGCCGGGGGAGGAGCCTGCGAGGCCGGGGGAGGAACCTGCGCGGCCGGGGACCAGCCTGCGCGGCCGGGGGCGGAGCCTGCGCGGCCGGAGG